GGTATGTGAAGCAATAAAAGTTTGTAGTTTTAAATTGCTAAGATTTGGAGTAATTTGTTACCCAGCAAAAGATAACTAATATAGCAAGCACTGTCCTAAATATTTTACATGGTTCTCAAATCAATTCTATGAAGTAGGAACTCTTACTTTCCCACTTTACAGAATGGCAGACTGAAGCACAAAAAGGGCAGGTTGCTCTAAATTGCCCTACTAGCAAGCATAGGTGGGTCTGTCTCCAAAGCCCTGACTCCTAATATGCAATTTCACGGCCTTCCGTGTCCCTGCTGCTGGACGGACTATGTCAGCCCAGATTCATTATTTCATCTTATTTAATTCTCACTATAGAGTGAAGAGGAGTGTCTGGGTAGTGCAAATGGTTAAGCACTCAACTACTAAATGAAAGGTTGTTGGTTCGAAACCACCCAGAGGTGCCTTGGAAGGCAGGGCTAGTGACCTGCTTCCGAAAGTCCGCACAGCCTTGAAAACCCTGTGGAGCAATTCTACTTTGCACACATGGGGTAACCATGAGTCTCAATGTTTTGTTTTGTTTTTTTAATAGAATGAGGCAGTGGTGATCATTCTAGAAAATACTACCAGTCAACACTTGCAGGATGCCTTCAAGTCAACAAGACACCAATTCGCACTTACCTATGAGGCAGGGCAGGGTTTGTTGTCTCAGGACTCTGGAAACTGCTCCATCCTTCTTGAGTCGATGCAAAGAAAAGGAAAAGAGGAAAGCCCTCCCTTTTCACTCCTCCCTGTCTTTCCCTGGGATGGTGTTCCCACCAGAGAGACAGAGGGCCTCAGGCATGCTGCTCTTTCTGGTAGGTCCAGCCCCCTGGTCTTTTATCCTAAATGCGCAACAAATTCCTTCCCTCTAGCAGGGCTCCCTGCGTTAGAACAGGGACAACTCTGTTCTAACCCCCTCCCAATTCTAACTCTTCACTGCGATCTTCCTCCCATGGATTAGGCAGCAACTAGTGGCTTGAGCTATTTTCCTGACAAACAAAAGCAGTCAATATAGCCTTTGATTAACAGCAAGAGGGATTAGGGTTAGAACTGAGAGGGGACTTCCAAACTGATCCCTTGTAGCAGATGGCCAGGCAAGGCTGTAGGTAGTATATATATCCTTTCTTGAAGATCTTTCTGGAAAGTATATATCTTGACCTGAGTGGTGCTAGGGGGTGATGTTTAGAATTGGGACTGTTTGTGACCTGATTCGGGAGGAGAGCTGGAGGTACTCTTTCTAGGAATCAGGAGAGACCAGATGACAGCAAAGTCTGTCAGGCATCATGTCCCCTTTTGTCTCCTGCTCTACAAGAGGGCAAGGAGAATAAATCTCCCACCTGTGTAAGAGGGATTAGAAAGGGACGTCTGCTTTCTGAGTCAGCCAGCGAGCTTGAAGACCAAGTAGACTTCAAAAGCGGAGTCCATGGTGGGGAGGCTGCAGCCAGTCCTCTGAGTCACCCTCGCCTGGCTGCCAAGCTAGGCCCTGGAATGTCTGCTGTGGCCCTGCGGGGCCCTGGTAGGGGGAGGGGAGGAGATGAGTCACTGTGTGCTGGGAGAGCCAGCAAGTCCCAAATGCTCTTCTGCTGGTCCAGTTCTCATTCCTGGGTCCCTGGCTCAGAACCTGGGAGGAGCTGGGAAGCATACCCTGGGTTCTCTTGCAACAGGACTGCACATCACCCCCTGCCCACATCTTATCCCTCTGATTCCCTGACTTCCACGCCTCCTCAGACACCTGCAACCCTGCACACTCTCCACCTGTCTGGTCCCTCAACCTTTGTATCTGGGCTTCAGGCCAGTCGGGGCATCCTCCTGCCTCTCCATCTCCACTGTCCTCTCTGATCCTCACATCCTGGAAATTCCCTGAAGTGGAACTGGGGCCCGGTGGCATGTCTCATCATGGCTTGGACAGGCCGGGTGGGCTGTCAGTTGGATTTATTGAACTCTTTTGACCAAGTCAGGCAGGTCCTTCCAATCCTCAGAAACTTCCCCAAGCTCTCTTTTCTGTTCCCTTGTCTTCCAACATGCATGCCCTGGGTTGGGGGGTGGTGGTGGCTGTGGGCACCCCTGAGAATTTAGCTTCTTTGATATTCTCCCCTGGCCCTCCCCACATTGCTCCATTGATCCTAGGATGTGTAGAACTTGAAGACTTGAACAGGAACTCTGGGCTAAGAGGCCCTTCTCACATCCCTCCTACCAACCATGCCGGCCCCTCCCCCAGGGCCCAGGCACATTCTTCTCTTGTCTGTCCTCAGCAGGGCATGAGGGTCAAAGGTCAAAGGAAAAATGGAAGGTGGGGGGTGCTGCAGAAAAGTCCCCTCCAAGAAGGGGTGGAGTGGGGGCTTAAAGCACAGCTGGTCTTCAGAGCAGCCCATCCCCCCAGATAAATCCACAGGTTACCAGGCAAGGGCGCAGGGCTGCTGGGACTCATCTCAGAACCTTCCTTGAAGGTTCTGGCACCACTTAGGGGTTCCAGGGAACTCTGTCCACCCTTTTTGGATACCTTCTGCCTCCAGGCAGGGGTATTCAGGTTGGGGGGGCTGAAGACCTTTGACACAAACTCTCTGAGCCCATGAACTGTGTTGCTAAACAGAAAGCAGGATCCCAGCAGCCCCAGCTCCCTTTTGGAGATCAAATCTGAATTGATGTCTCGTCTCTGTCTGTTGGTAGCTGGGATACAGAATTTAGAGAGCTTGCCCAGGGAGAAGTTTTTCTGGATGGTGAGAAATCAGAAATCGGTGGATAGGTGGGAGGAGGTTTCTAGGAAGCAGAGGTGAGTTACCCTCCTAGTTCAGTTACCTCTTATCCCATACAGGCACTTAATTTCATGCTGGATCTGCTCCCAGGCTGGGGAGTTCACCTGGAAAGGAAAGTGGCACGTATTAAGCCATGGAGCTAATAGGCAGGGCATGAGCTCAGCTGTTTATGGTTCAGTGTACCCGTGGTGAGTGGGAAAGGGGGAGGTTGGGGAAGGAGGCCTTGGGGTGGTCTGCCAAACACTTGCAGTCTATGTCCTGTCCCTTCTCAAATGATAACCCCTGTGGATGGAGCCATGTGCTAAGTATTGGGGAAAGGCAAGGGGATGGCCTCAAGGAGTCGTCGGTCTAACAGGGGAGATCCAGCCCTTAGCCTTAGGAAGCCCCAGTGTGATGGGGAGAATATAACCCTGGCTTACATCCCTGCCCTCAGAGAGCCCCAGTCTGATCAAGGCGATATAACTCCTGTCCTGGAGAGCCCACCAATCTGATAGTGAGGCACAGTACCACTTCACCTCAGGGGTCCCAGTCTGGTGGAGGAGACAGGACCACATACTTCCCTCATATAGAAGAGCAGGGCATTTGAGGAGGAATTGAGTCTGAAAAATCTTACCTTTGCAGATAGGTCAAGTAGCTGCCTCCAACTTTCTCCAAGTTCCCAGGGTTTAAATGTGCCTCTTCTCTACTCTGTCCTAAGCAAGAAGACAGCTTGAGTGTAAGTTCTCAGTTCACCCAGCTACCACCCAGGAAGGCCCCATCCTTCATGATCCCTTGACCCTCTGTCCTCTCATTCTCCAGTGCCCTTCCCCAGCCACCTGGGACACTTCCCTAGATGGGGACACTGTTACAATGCCAAAGCCATGGACTGTTGTCCAGAGCCAGGGCTCAGACTACATTGGCCCCACTCCTTCCTACCCAGAATTAGCCTTATTACCCTGTAGGAGTGTCCTTCAACTAGTGCCCACCCCACCCCAAGCCAGCCGTCAGCAAGTATAGCCTTTCTAACTGAGGGCACCAATAAATGAAGCGGGGGGGGGGGTGTACTGGGCCCTGTGCCCAGAAAGGAGGAGGGGGAAGGAGAAAGGGGGCACTTAGGGCACCCTATTCATAGGCAGGCCCCAGACAGCAGTTGGAGATACCCAAAATGTTAATCACCAATTAGTGCAGTTCAGGTGGAAAGGGCAAATTTATTATGTGTAAAATGGACTTAATGTGGCAGGAGCTGTGGGTTTAATTTCTTGAGATAAGACGCTTTTAGGCTAATCAGCTGGTCTCTGATGCCTGGATATAAAGGAGCTGAAGCAGACTTTCTTGAGGCAGCTCCAAAGGGCCAGAAGGTAGGAGGAAGAGACCCCCTTCTCCTGGAAGAGCCAGAGAGGAAGTCTGGTAAGAGAAAAGCTGGGATAGGGGATGGAGTGGATGACCTGGAGATGAGAGGGACCTTGGGAATCTTGAGATGCTCAGCACCCTTGCATCTCACTTTCTCTTCCTCTATATAAGAAATAAGAAAGTAGCTCTGATGGTTTCTTTAACACCCAGTTAGCCAAGGCAGGAAGATGAGGTCCTGCAGCTCACGAATCTCTAGATTGAGCTTTGGTTTTCAGGCCTTGGGAAGAAAGTTCTCCACTGTTCTTTATTCCTACTGAAAACCCATAGATGAAATGGGTCAAGCCCAAGGTAGAAAGGTATAGGTCAGACTGCAGGAAGAACTTCCCTGACAGTTAAGCCTGAGAAGGGGAGACTAGGACGATTCTAAACGTAGTTTTCATTTAGGGCAAGAGGGTTATAGTGATTTAGGTGGCAGCCAATTTGAGAGTAGAAAGGCTGGTTGAGATGAACCTCAGAGGGCTCTAAGGAGATATTCTTGCCAAGCCACATGCCTATGAGGTTCAGTCCTGGAGCCAGGGGCCGAGGGGTTGGGGGAGTTGCCCGAGCACACAGGTCTTCACTGCTTTATCCTCCCTGGAAGTCTCCCTCATTGCCCTTTTCCCACCCCACTCAGACCCTATCTATAAATAAAACCAAACCAAAAGCAGACTCACCTCTTGTCCAGGCTTCATGTGCACCCCTCACCCTCCCCCAGGTATTGCTTCAGTCTGTTAGAAAATCTCCAAACCCCAGGGCTCAGCCCCTCTCTAGCTTTCAGAATCATCCTCATACAAGCGGCTCCCTCAGCACACTGCTCCCTGCCTTACCTTGGTCCTTTTGTCTCTTAGCTCAGGATATAACCCTTGGAAGATGGTGGCCATGAAGACTTTGTCTCTGCTGCTGGTGTCCCTGCTCCTGGCAGTGGTGCTAGGGGAGAAGGAGAAGGATCACTCCAGGTCGGGGTGATAGGAAGGGAGGGATCAATGGCAGAGGAGGGAGCTGGGGGATGACTAGGTTTTGGACTCTGTTGAAGGGGAAGTGAGAGAGGGAGGGATCCCAGGCCAAGAGGAAAGAAGCTCATGGAAAAACTATCCAGCAGTCTGAGTGCAGAGTGAGATCAGAACCAGAAGGTATTATGAGCTACTGTTGCAGCAGGAGGGACTGTGGTTACGTATCTGGAAGGACATCTTGGTGGCTAAGTGTCTGAAGAAGATGACAAAATCTCCCTTCCTAGTGAATGCTTTAACCATTCATTTTTGCATGTGCTCGATACAACTTTTACAGAGGGCCTCCTGTGGGCTAGGCACAGGGGATCTGCGTGAATGAGGGTCCACAAATAGCTCCTGTCCTCATGGAGCATATAGGTCCAAGAAGGAACAAAGAATCACAGAGGTATGTTGCAAAGTGTCATGGGTCGTGTGAGGACAAGCTGAGAGTATTATGAGTGACTATAGTAGGAGGCTGTGGTCATGATTTCAGGGACCAAGGAAGACTTGTCTGAGGAAAGAGTTGGGCCTTCTCAGATGCAAGAACAAACCATACGCCCATGAAAATTTCAGGCACAGGTGTTAGGGACGGGTACACAGAGAGGCAGCATCATGCAGATGTTAAGAACCTAGACCTGGGGCCATACTGCTTGGGGGTAAATCCTGGATCTGCTTCTTATGCTCTATGATAAATTTATCTCTCTGCATCTTGGTTTCTTCAATTATAAAGTGGAGATAATAAATACTATCTGCTATATAGGGGTGCTGTGAGGATTAAATGGGTGTATGTATTAAAGGGCTAATAAGAGATCCTGACTCATGGTAGGTGTTGTCCTATAAGAGTTCACTATTTCTGTGATCAAATAAGACCCAAAGAACTGAATCAGGAAGGGCCAGGGCAAGAGGAGGAAAGGGAGGAACTGTGTGAATCAGTCCTTCGAGGTGAGAGGAACCCAGACCCCTCTCGGCCTAGAATCCAGAGGCACACACGCTTAGAATGAAGGAGGATGGGCCTTGAGCTTCGGATCAAGTCCCCAGGAGGCTGATGGAGTGACAACAGGGGTCTCCAAATTAACCAACCCCCAAGAAATTGGGCTGGTTTGCTTTCAATTGTCTGCTTCTTGTTAGTGACAATTTTTATCCCAGCATTGTGATTTTCCCCCCTCTGTTCTTACGCTGGCATCCTGATTTTCTCTCTCTCCCCTCCCTGACTCTCAGACCCCACCCTAAGGTCAGCGGCCCTCAACCTCGAGGCCCGAGATATGCTGAGGGGACTTTCATCAGTGACTACAGCATTGCCATGGACAAGATCCGCCAACAAGACTTTGTGAACTGGCTGCTGGCCCAGAAGGGGAAGAAGAAAGAGTGAGTCCTTGTGCACACCCTCTCCTGTTCCACGTCCCCAGGGCTCTACCTTCATACATTCAGACCAGGCTGCCATACACGGCTACACGGGGGTGGGATGCACAATGAGGAGCTGTCCTGGCCATGGCGGGCCTGGCCAGATCCTGGCTGGGGCAGCAGTCCAGTCTGAGGGCAGGAGTATGGTGATTTCTCAATCCTTTACTTCTAAAGGAGTCCCTGGGTAGTACGAAAAGTTAATGCACTCAGGTGCTAACCAAAAGTTGAAAGTTTGAGTCCACTCAGAGGCACCTTGGAAGAAAGGCCTGGCAATCTACTTTGGAAAAATCAGCCATTGAAAACCCTATGGAGTACAGTTCTACTCTGACACACGTGGGGTTGCTATGAGTTAGACTCCACTCCACAGCAACTCGTTTTTGGTTTACTTCTAAAGAGGAGGTGTCAGGGAGATGTGTGGGAGAACCCAGAGGATCCCCAGGAGGGTGAGGACAAAGGCAGGAGGAACTGAGCTACTTCCAATGACTGTTTGGTGGTGGCAACTTCAGACTTTAGAAATAGGATAACTGCCCCCTTCTTCCTTCTCTTTGCTGTATCTCTTTCCCTGGTTGGTCAGCATGGTAGATTCTGAAAAGCTGCTCACCAGTGGCGGCAGCTAAAAGCAGGGAGTGGAGTACCCTCTGCTCCTAAGGTTGAGGTACCAAAAGATTCAAGAGTCCCTGGACTAGAGAAGGCCTGGAGTCTCCCCCAGCCCCACCCATTCCCTGATCTTTACTTTACCAGCTGGAAACACAACATCACCCAGAGGGAGGCCAGGGCCCTAGAGCTGGCCAGTCAATCTAACAGGAATGAGGAGGCCAGCGAGAAGCAGAGGTGAGTCAGGGGGAAAGGGGGTGCAGAGGGGCCTCCTGACTTCTGACCCACCCCCACTTCATTGTTCCCTGTCCCTGGACTCTGGGACTCCAGGGCAAAGCAAGGGCCTGTGATAAGCATCCCATTTCACTCAAGGTTCAAAAGGGGAGCTTCACAGAGCAAACTCCTGGAGGTCAGCCCAGGCTTAAGGAAGAAGCCTTGGAGGGGTGGGGGAGGGGTTTTGGGAGGGGCTTCTGGTCCATGGTTTCTAAGATTGATGACTTAGTGTGCACAGTCACTGGGTCAAGGAGAGAGGCAGTAAAGGAGAGGCACTCAGGAACTGGCCTCCCCACTTCTTCCTGACAAACCTCAGGAAGGCTGTTTGTGGAAGGGGGAGACCCAAGGGCAGTCCCTTGAAATCAGTTACTCCCTCTCTGAGAAAAGAGAGGAATCTGTGGCACAGATCATTCTAAAGAGTGAACGTTCCCAAAGTAACCTTTCAGGTTTGGGGAATGCATTCTGGAATATTTTTCAAGGTGGGTGGGTGGACTATCTCATACCAGAATTCTGTTTGGCTTGCCTGTATTGAAGAGCCCATCTTCCCCAGCAGGGATGGATTACCCAATAAGCAAGGTAAGCACATCCTTAGGGCATCAACAAAACAGGGACACCAGTTGTCCAAAGCAAAACCCCACAGACGCCAAGCAGACAGGACCCAAGGAAAAGCGAGCACACAATGATTCAAGAAAGACTCAATTCATTATCCTTATTATGTATGGAAGTAGATAGTGATGAAATCAATGAAGAATTTGTAAGAGGAAAGAATAGAAAGAAATGTTTTTAATTATAACATGTTAGAGGAGATCGATCTAAAAATAAAATACAGTAATTTGTTGTAATATTGGTTTTCTGATCATTAAATTTTTTTTTAATAACATCTTTTCATTTGCTCATTTATAATTATAGCATTTATTATGCAACAAGCACCAAAATTGAAGTATGAGCCATTTAAAGCAAAATTGGTGAAAGTCAATTTTTTGTTGTGGGAGATCGATAGAACTTTACATAGATTGTTGAAACAACTAAGTTCACTGACTCATTTTCTTTGTTGTAGAATACATGGAATATTCTTTTAGTAGAAAATGTGGTATATAGTAAAAATCTTAGTACTCTGCATCCACTAAAATTTTATTATCCGGTTCATCTCATCCCGCTAAAATGGCATATGCCACTTTTGTTTTCAGTTGCTAATACTATAGCTGCATTTAAAAAGAAATTACATCATGGGTAGCTAAGTGTCTCTCTCTCTCTCTCTCACACACACACACACACACACACGTATATAGATGTATATATCTAACTCACATATCCCGTTAGAATACATGAGTAAGCAGAGGAGGGGGCAGCACAGATTCTCAGTGTTTAGGGCTCTCACGTGCCTTAATCTGGCCCTGTTCCCCAGGCAGGCAGAGCTGGTTGGAGCTGCCAGAAAGGTAGCTGAGGTTTGAAAGCTGAGATAACTGAGATACACCTGTGTTGACTCTCTCCAATGCCACCCCAGCCCTTGGAGTCCCAGGCCCCCTGTACTTAACTCTCTCTGGGTAGGACCCAGGCTAAGATGGTCTGACAAAGGCTTTCTTCTTCGCAGCTCCCCACCCAAGATGCCCTGTGATGAAGATTTGTTAAGGGATTTGCTGATTCAGGAGTTGCTGGCCTGGATGGTAGATCAGATGGAGCTCTGCAAGCCCAGGTGGGGCTTTGGGCATGTTGCACAGTGGTTATAAGCTTGAACTTTGGGGTCAGACACGGCTTCAGGTTTTTGCTCCAGCACCCCTTCGTTGTGTGACATTTAACAAATTACTTAGCCTTTCTGCACCTCAGTGTTTTCATTAAAATTGGGGCTATTAAAACCACTTCATGGGATTGTTCAGATGTTTAAATAAGATTATGTGAGGAAACAGTTTAGGGAGACAGCTTGGAAGTAGTAAGTGCTCAGTAATGTTAGTAGCTATTGTTACTATTTCTACTTCCTTCTCAGCTTCTCCCTGGTGAGATGCTGCTCTCACCTCTCCTGCCAGCCTGTGCTAAGCTTCCTATTCCCACCTTTCCCTTTGTCCCCTTGGCCCATGGCACCTTCCCAGTGATGAGAACCCCAGTAGTTGGAAGCATTTTGCCCTTCTCTGTAGCCACTGCTGGCCTCAATGGCCTCTTCAGGCCACCTTAACCCAAACCCATTACCACTGAGTTGATTCCATCTCATAGCAACCCTATAGGACAGACTAGAACTGCCCTATAGGGTTTCCTATGCCGTAATCTTTACCAAAGCAGATTGCCACATCTTTCTCCCAAGGAGCCCTGGTGGCACAGTTGTTAAGCGCTCTGCTGCTAACTGAGAGGTCAGCAATTTGAATCTACCAGCCAGTGGGGGATAAGCCAATAAGCAAGGTAAGCACGGGCTTACTTGTACTTACTTACTAATCTGCAGTGAACCATTTCACACGGGTTATACCACACCACATCAAAGGAAACCTGTGTGAAGTTGTTCACTACAGATTAGTAAGTAGGCACAGGTAAACCTGTGCTTACTTTGGTTATTGGATAATCCACCCCTGCCACAAGCCACTCCACGGAGGAAAGATGCGGCAGCCCACTTCACCAGCTAAGAAATCCTTCAATCTATCTATTCATCTCCCAGAGCACAAGGATGACTAAATACTATGGAGAGATCCATACAGACAGGACACTCATTCAAGATGCAGACACCAAGGCACAGAAACCAAAACTTGTTCAGACTTTGGTATCTGGAAGCTAGGGAGGGGATGAGGGAGTAAACCTGGGAAGGTTTCCTGTAAGAGGATTAAGAAACGAGAGAGGAAAGTGAACAGACCGAAGGAGAAGAGGAGAGTATGAGGAAAACTCCACAGGAAGGTGGGGAATAGTCTCTGCATATTCCAGATTATTTTCATTACTTATAATTAAAAAAGTAATTCAGAGGTAGGATAGGTTTAACTATGGATGAGCACCAGGATAAATTTTCTTTGCTGTCTCCAAGCCAATAATGAACCTTCCTCTCTACCACGTCTTCCTCTGTTTCCCCACTCTTCCCAGGTTTCAGTGACTCTGACCAAATCCAGCTCAGGATTGGACTCTACCCTTCACTTATTCAGCTCCTGCCTCAGCCCCACTCCATGATACCCAAGAGAAGCCAAGCTAATAAAGTTTAAGCTGAAATAAATCTTTGTGTCCATCATTAGAATCCATTTAAATATCTACTGAACACTAGAAGTACCTGGGTGGCACAAATGGTTAAGTGCTTGACTACTAATCGAAAGGTTGGCGGTTTGAACCCACCTAGAGACATGTTAGAAGTCAGGCCTGATGACCCGCTTCTGAAAGTTCACAGCCTTGAAAACTCTGTGAAGTAGTTCTACTCTGCACACATGGGGTCGTCATAGTTGGAACTGACTTGACGGCAACGAACAACAACTGAGCACTAACAATGCATGTTTTTGTGTATGTGTGTGTGGCCACCACCCAGTGAAAAGGAGATTTGACTCTCTTAATTCACCTATTTATTCTACAAACATTCATTGAAGACCTAATATAGCAGAAGCTACACTAAACACTGGGTATACAACAGTGAAGGAAACAGACACCAGCCTTACCCTTCAGGAGCTTAAAGTTTAGTAACAGAGACAGACTTTAATCTTTAAATACACAAACACATTGTTATTGTTGTTAGGTGCAGTAGAGTCGGTTCCAACTCATAGCCACCCCATGTACAACAGAGCAAAATACTGCCCAGTCCTGCACCATTCTCATAATCCTTGTTATGTTTGAGTCCCTTGTTGCAGCCACTGTGTCAATCCACCTTGTTGAGGATCTTCCTCTTTTTCGATGACCCTCTACTTTACCAAGCATGATGTCCTTCTCCAGGGACTGGTCTCTCCTAATAACATGTCCAAAGTATGTGGGACGTAGTCTCACCATCCTTGCTTCTAAGGAGCATTCTGGTTGTACCTCTTCCAAGACAGATTTGTTTGTTCTTTCGGCAGTCCATGGTATATTCAATATTCTTTGCCAATACTGTAATTCAAAGGTGTCAACTCTTCTTTGGTCTTCCTCAGTCATTGTCCAGCTTTCACATGCATATGAGGCAATTGAAAATACCATGGCTTGGGTCAGGCACACCTTAGTCTTCAAGGTGACATCTTTGTTTTTTAACACTTTAAAGAGATCTTTTGCAGCAGATTTGCCCAATGCAATGAGTTGTTTGATTTCCTGACTGCTGCTTCCATGGATATTGTGGATCCAAGTAAAATGAAATCCTTGATAACGTCAATCTTTTCTCCGTTTATCATGATGTTGCTTATGGGTCCAGTTGCGAGGAATTTTGTTTTCTTTATGTTGAGGTGTGATCCATACTGAAGGCTGTGGTCTTTGATATTCACCAGTAAGTGCTTCAAGTCCTCTTCATTTTCAGCAAGCAAGGTTGTGTCATCTGCATATCACAGGTTGTTAATGAGTCTTCTCCCAGTCCTGATGCCATGTTCGTCTTCATATAGTCCAGCTTCTCGGATTATTTGCTCATCATACACATTGAATAAGTATGATGAAAGTACACAACCTTAATGCACACCCTTCCTGACTTTAAACCACTCAGTATCCTCTTGTTCTGTTCGAATGACTTCCTCTTGATCTATGCACGTGCAGGTTCCTCATGTGCACAATTAAGTGTTCTGGAATTCCCATTTATACTATGGAAATTGGCAAATGCTACAAATCGGGGCTCTTCCGTTTCCAGCCTGGAGATGTGGTTGTTAAACATTTACCAGCACATCACTGGTCAGCATACTTTCGGTAAAATTATAAAAGGGAACAAGTGTGTCTGAACAAGGGGATAAGCCATGTCTATTGGAGTGTGGCTATGAGGTGTGTTGAGGGGCAGTGTGCGGACCTAGGGGAGTGAGTATGTATGTGTACATTTGAGTGGATGACCAGCTAAATCTGAGGTGATGAGTGAGTGATGGGATCAGTGTATATACCTTAAGCAGTATGAAACAAAGAGGAGGAAGCAGGTGTGTCTAGATGGAGTCAGTGATTACCTACAGGGCCAATTTTTTTTTACTTGGGGTAAGAATTTGAGAATGTGAGGTCAGTGTGTATATAAGTGGCCAGTGTGTTTTTGGATAATAGGATGGGTAGGTATATTGGAGGAGTTAAATGGGTGTGACAGGGTGTCTAAAAAGGCTAGTATATGTGTTGGAGAGGACAAATCTGTGTTTGAGGAAGTCAATTTGTGTCCAAGGTGGCTTATGCTATCTAAGCTTAGCATCTTGAGGGTGTGTGAGTGAATATGAAGGCATGGCTACAAAGGGCTGAACGATTTCCCAGCCTTGATTCTCGCACCTGTTAAGATGAGTTCAGCTTCAGATAATGGAACAACACAAACGTAACAGAGACTTTAGCAAAACAGCACATTATTTCTCTCTCTCATAAACATCCAAAGGGCTGCTGCATGAAATGCAGGATCGTTTGGCTCATCCTTCCACCATTCTTCGAAGTCCAAAACGGCAGCTAAATCTTCTGCCACCAACCTCTGCTCCCATCTTTTATCCTTTTACTCAAATTCCCTCTGGTAGTATTATTCATAAGGAGCCCTAGTGGCACAACTAGTTAAACGAAAGGTCGGTGGTTCAACCCATCCAGCAGCTCCATGGGAGAAAGACCTAGTGATCTGCTTCTGTGAAGATTATAGCCAAGGAAATCCTATGGGGACAGCCCTACTCTGTCCTATAGGGTCACTAAGAGAGCCCTTGTGGCACAGTAGTTAAGGCTATCCACTGCTAACAGAAAGTCGGCCTTGGAAACCCTGTGGGGTGACTAGGAGTCGGAATCGACTCCATGACTTTGGGAAAGGGTCACTATGAGTTGGAATTGATTGGATGGCACCGAGTTTGCTTTTTGTGTATATGCCAGGCGTTGCAATAAATATCTTGTTTTCTCATTTAATTCTCACAACTTTATGAGGTAGGTATTGTTATTCTAGTTCACAACTGTGGAAAATGAAACACAGAGATTAAGGAATTTCCCTAAAATCACTGGACTGTAAGTAGTGGAATTAAGCAATTCAGCCAGGCAGTCCAGCTCCAGAGTCCACGGTTTTAACTGTAAAGCCTTGGCAAATCAATCTGTGCGGGTGCTTGCCACAGATAAAACTGTTAGGGTAGGGCCGATTCTGCTTTAAGGCTCCATATGGAACCCTTGGTGCCCAACAAGGCACCAGCAAGTAACAAACGTTCAAAGAACAACTTCCGGCCCCAAGCAAAACTCCTGCGGAGGGGCAGTTGTAATGAGTTGTGAGGGTCGGTAGCGCTCAAGAGGGTAGAGCGCGCGAGGCCGTAAAATAGTGCCTACCACTCCGCGTCCGCGCGTCGATCAGCGAGAGGATGGAATGCGCACCCACACCCGCAGCCTCTCTGCGGCCACGCTTTGGGGAGTTTGTACTTAGACATGGGGCGGGGGGGGCACGGGGCCACCAGCGGCAGGAGAGCTTCGGCCCGGCGGCAGGAAGTCGGGAGCGTAGCTTCCGGCGCGCGGAGATGACGCACCACCCGGGCTTCCGTGTTGGGGAGCCGCCGGCGGATCCCAGGAGGCGGAGACCCGGGTTCCCGGTAGCCGGACGGCCCGGGGGCCCAGCGCCGGGATGCATCGCCGCGGCGTGGGAGCCGGTGCTATCGCCAAGAAGAAGCTTACCGAGGTGAGTGGGAGAAACGCGACCCACAGCCATCCCTTACCCTTGAGAGACTGAATTTCTTGGAGCAGAAGTCTGCACCCTCAAACTGCCTCCCACCAGACCTAAGACAGGCTTCTCGAGTCCTGGAGAACTGAATTTCTCCAGCTCCCGGTGGCCTGGAGTGTCGGCACCCCCAGAACCCAGCCTGCCTTCCCCCTTCACGTTCCCAAATTTGACTAGAGACGTATCGCCTATGCCACCTTCTCACTCTCCCTCGCTTTAAAAAAGAAAAAAAAAGAAAATTAAGAGAGGCACTCCTTTTTTCAGACTTCAACTGTGGCAGCACAAGTGGGAGACCCCAGTGCCCACTTTCTAAACTCATGGGGGTCTCTTTGTCTGGCAGGCCAAGTATAAGGAGCGAGGGACTGTTTTGGCTGAGGACCAGCTTGCCCAGGTGAGTCGGTTGGAGGGCTCCAGTTAGGAAGGAAGACCCAGCAGGGCTGGACAGGACACCTTTAGTAAGCTAGATTGTTTGGATTGAAGTAAAAGTAGAGTGTTTGGCAAATCTTGAGTTCTAGACTGCTGAGATCTTTGAAGTAACTGGCTGATAATAATAGCCGATATCTTTGAGTGATTGCATGCTTCTCCTATCCCAGGTACTTGGTCATTTTCTTTACATACACTACCTTGTTCAATCCCCAGGGACTTCTGTTATTCACAGTTTAGAGCTGAGGACTCTGAGGTGTTAAGTGGTTTATCCAAGGTTATAAAGTAATAAATAGCAGAGCTGTTTGGTTTATGTCTTTGGGGCTTTTACTTTAAATGCTTCAGAATAAAATGAAAATATTGCCTAACCTGTGGCACTCGCCACCACCATCATTACCTCCAGGCGTGCACCAGAAAGGTGTGTGACTGGTGGGAGTGTGGCTCCTGCACACAGTTTCCTTCTCTTACACTTTGCTTTTCTGTACATGCTCTGAGCTTACTCAGTTATTGTGACTGGTGAAGAAGAGGAGTCAGGTAAGTAGGAAATGGGCCCTTAAACTGAAGACAAATAGTAGACGCAGGCTGTGCTTTTCAAGGAGCCCTTGGGTGGTGCAAATGTTTAATGCACTTGGCTGCTAACCAAAAGGTTGGTGGTTGGAGTCCACCCACAGGCAACTTGGAAGAAAGGCCTGGCTTTGTATTTCCAAAAAATCAGTCACTGAAAAATCCTATGGAGCACAGTTCTACCCTGACACACATGGGGTCTCCATGAGTTAGTTACTAGGTGTTTTCCAAAAGCTCCCACTCCTGTGGGAGGTGACATGTAGAAGTCTACTGGAAATGATGATTATAAGAATGTGGTGGTTTCTAATCATTTTATGTGGAAAATGAGAAGA